ACGATCTATAACCTCTGATGAATCTATATTAATATTGCATTCTTCTGTTATTTGCCGTTCTATGAGTTTATTAAAAACTCTTGAATTGTCATTTCATATAGAATAGGATGAATGCACCATCCATAAAGTAATTTTGAACCCTTTGAAATACGTATATTAGCAAATGGCATTGTGTGAACAAGCGATTGCATCTATATTACCACTCACATATCTCAATTACAAAAGCGCTATTAATACTCAATTTAAAGTGGACTACAAAAATACATATCGGTATAGGAGACCTGATTGTTCCTGTTGAACCTTTTATCACTAATGATTTAGTTTGTAATATCACTATCAATTAACACATTTGGAATGGTCTAAAATATTCGGTAGTTTGTAATTGTCATTCTGGGAGTATTGCATATATATAAAATATGTATGCGAATTTAAACAAAGAATATGCAAGGCTTCGTTAGTTGAGATCAAAATCTCATTCTTTTAGTTATTGATATTTTATTCATCAGATTTATCGTTATAGAGTCTAAGGGTTGTGCTTTTATACTTTTGGTGAAGTCAGTTTTTAAATGTTAACTTTGCCTCACTTTGCTTTCCATTAGTTGAGACACTTCACATTTCAAGTTAGATAACTTGCAACCAATAGTAATTGCAAAAAAGTATGTACGTACTTAAACAGACTTTAATTTCTCACGATATTATCATTATCATAATAGCAATCTACAAAGCATTGTAACTTTAATTTAATAATATATCAATCATCGCTTACCTTTTAAATACCAATTATTTGATTAAATATACCAGAATGTTTTGTATACAGAAAATATCATACCAACTATCGATATGTATGTGAGTATTGTAAAGTAATTAACAGCGTAGTAAATTCTAATTTTTTATAATTATTTAATATAGCGTGCAGATCCGAAAAATCACTACGTATATAAAATCTTAATTAGTGATCAACACTATATCCTCAGTTCTAACAACTGTACTATGTCTAGCTCTAACAACCCTGCTACGTTCAGCTCTAACAACTATGCTATATTTAACTTTGTTTTAAATTAAGTAGGCTGATTAAAAAAAAAAAAAATTTATGGTTTTCAATTTTTGGACCCGGCCGGGTTATGAAAACCAAAAAATTTACTTTGTGCGGCCTAACTAATAGACTTTATTTTTTTTTAGCGAAGATACTAGTTACTCTAATAAGAAAAATTTCTATGAGTTAAGTATAAGGATATGAATAATTTAAATTTTTATATTCAAATTGGCAGATTTTAGTTTTTTATAGCAATATGACATTATTGTAAGCAAACTTAATTCATTATATGATACAATATTATTCAAATTACTAATTCTTTTAACCAATTAAATATCAACTTCGGGTTGTTGTTATAAGAATTAAAAAGAATAATATTATCACTAAAAATATTATGTAAATAACTCTAAGTAATTTAATATATATTATTAGAAATTGGTATGAATATAAAATTATTAAGTCTAAGAATTATAATAAATTATAATTAAACTAAAAAAATAAACACTGTATTTGTTGTTTTTTGTATAGCTTGATACTGAAATTTGCATGTTGAATGACACGATTCAAACAGCCATTCAATATAGCAAATTTTTAAAATTTACTAGCATGATTTTTAATTCATGAATATAAAGAAATTATTTAATCAAATCAATATTTCCATTCAGATCAATATTACTGAAATGTATTGTTATATTCGTGCTGCCAAGAGAATTGTGACTTCAGGCTTTTGAATTATCATTGATTATTTATTGAGTTCAGCCGATATATGCTGCATATTATACATGTTACTATCAAGAATTTAAAAAACTAAACCTGATAAATAATAAATGATAAAATTGAAGTCCAAAGTCTTATTTTCTCTTGACAGAACTCATATTTAATTTCAATTAGTTCTTATTAAATATGAACCTTATTTACTGTATTAGTGAGCATAAAATTCGATATTAATAAATATATTCAAAGTACAACACATTGTAATTACAAAGACATCAAGTATCGATCTATTTTATTAATAGAAATAGTGTTTAAAAATACATATATAGAGTTTTATCTAAATAATAAATCGGGTTACGGTTCCGGTTCCAGGTTTTGTATCCCGGTTCTGGGTTTAGATAAGGACTCAAATTGATTTTTCGGTTCGAATCTGGTTTTGCATAAAACCCGGACCGAACTGGACTGTGCAGAACTCTAATAACTGCTAAGGGAGCCTACTTTTATCAGGTGATTTCGATTTATTATAACTGTGACCCCCCTACCCTACCTGACAATCTCTTAAACCAATCAAATTTAAATTGATTACATAGAAGGTTTACATTAAATCTGCAATACTTATATGATCTGTAATACAAATGTATAGTACGTACATATGTACAGTGTGGAAAATCTAAAATTCTTATATATAATAAAGTTCAGCATACTCATTTGAAACTAAATTTGTTATTCCCAATAGCAATTTTGGAGTATATGCATATACCAGCTGCTATTTAGTATATATTATTCTTGGTGTATTATTTTTATATAAGCAGATTTGCAAATTCTAGACTTTTCACTTTATTGAAATTGATAATTTGATATTTATTTTGATGTACTGCCGATTTATACATTCTCTTTATATAAAGAGATTGAGGTTTTTAAATATCCTGTATCATACATATGTATATACATATATATTTATATACAAACAATTGAATCAAAACTCACAGCAAATATATTTAATTTGTTAAATAGTTTATTATTATTTAAAAATCGCTCTTGACTAGCGAATAGATTCATTGATCAATGATTGATCAAAAAAAAATTTTTCTTAATCAATCAAAAATTAATTATATATGCTTAATCAAGTATGATCGATTAAGCATGGAATTTATAAGCTTGAAAATTATACTTTGTTATTTTTTTTTTTACTGTATAAATTTTCTTTATCGATCAAATTTCAACTATTTGATCGATCATAATTGAGCCCATATATTGTGCTTGATCATCAAGCCTAATCGATCAATGATCGAATTTATTACTCTCAAATCTACTAACCAAATAAAGTCAAGAAATTCATAGTCATGCAATTAAATAGCCAAGAACTCATAGTCATGCAATTAAATACTAACATAACGAAACATATTAATATTAAAAAATGTAGAACCTTATAAATGGCTGTTCTCAAAAACGTGAAGATTTGAAGTAATCTTTAAATTACATAATTAAAAAATTATGAGAAATTCAAAAATAATTATTAAAATACCTTCTTTTTTGTGACCCAAGCTAAATTACTACGAAATTTGGATTTAAACATTCATTGAATAAAGCCCTTTCTTCGATTAATGTTATAAATAAATTTCATATTATTCAATCTTGTATATAAAGAACAATTTACCTTGCCTGGTAGTCTTCGAATTCAAATATGCAAACATTCTTAGCACCTCCAAAGCATAACAAATGATATATATATAAAAATCCTTGCAATATATATCAAAAATATGTAAATGCATATGCGTATTTTAAAATGGCATCTACCCGAAACCCTTCCCTTAATAAAGAAGAGTTATGCAACAAAGCATCTAATGAATGGAAAATACTAAAAAACAATGATGAAAACGTAATTCAAAATAAAATTTCTAAATACTTAACTATGCTAATTCATATTCATGGGTGTATGCAAACTGTTAGAACCACCCAAGCACAACCTCAATTAGTTCGTTTAGCAATTTGTCTAATATTCCAGATGAAATTTCAGAAGAAATTCCACATAATGCAGCCTTCCAAAAAAGAATTATAGAACTGATTAAAAATACACATAATGAATTAGATGAAATAAAAAAAATGATAGTGATTACAACAAATGCAGAAATGAAAGCACTATTTGTTTCAAAAATTGATAATATTTGAACTAAACTTAATGATAAAAAAAACTTAAACGGTATGCTTTCTCACAACGTAAGTTTCAGGCTAAAAAACTTAAGCAATTAAATAAAGAAAATGTGGTAGTCAGATATGACTCACCCAGTCGTCCTCCAGCATTATTTGAGTACCCAGACCTTCACGAGCAAATTCATGAATGCATTGAGTTTGGCGAAGCTGATGCTAAAAGAAGGCATGAAGTAATTAAGATTAGAATGATTGATCATTTACGTGATGAACTAGAAGCAAGATATCAAGTGTACTTGTCTCACAATTGCTTAAAAACCTACTTGTTACCTCAGAATAGTAGAAGCATTAGTTCAAGGGCTTACCACTATACAGCATTAGTAGGTGTTGCTGGGGTATCAAGAGATGAAAAAAAGAGTCATGTTGATGGACACTACTGTCTTGCCTCGGTAAAAAACACAAAACAGTTTGTATCAACCTTTCCTGATTATGCCATTATTATATCTCAAGATGACAAGTCCAAGGTCCCTATTGAAATTCCCGCTATTGGTAAACATTTTCAAACAATGCAAACCATCTGCGAACCCATAGCAGTAGTAAACCATGATTTTCCAATTAGTGATTCTCAAAAATTGGTTCCTTCAGTTTATTTAATAATTAATCTGAATGAAGCAAATGTGTCTCTGCATGATGGACAATTGGCAATTTTTGTATAACCCCAATGGCATTTAGTTTCAACATCGGCTACTCACATGGCTGATATTTTTGCTTTGGCAAAAAATGTTTAATTCACCGAAGTGTTTCAAAATGAAGATAATGTAAAGCCACTCTGGACTTTTCTCGTGGATGGTGGTCCCGACAAAAACCCAAGGCATCTAAAAAACATATATTAATACTGTAAACTTTTTTGCTTTCTTAACCTTGATTATCTTACTATACGCACTCATGCCCCAGGACAGTTAACCTATAATCCAGTAGAAAGGAGTATGGCTACTCTTTCGGGAAAACTTGCAGGAATCACTTTGCCTATATATAAGTATGGAACTCACCTTGATTCACAAGGAAAGGTACAAGACATTGAATTGGGCCTCCGCAACTTTCGTTATGCAGGAGAAAGACTTTGTGAACTTTGGAGAAAAAATTTTATATTTGGAAAACCCATTTTCACTGAATATACTGATCAACTTAACACACTATTTATTGTCACAGATCATAATGAAATCAGATTAAAATGAAACTGGGGACCTTTCTTGCTCATCTTTAAAGCTTATAAAACCCACTTATACTCTTTTATTAATAAAACTAACTCTAAACCCTAACCCTAACCCTAACCCTAACCCTAAAAAATATCTCCAAAAAATTTTAAATTTTTCTAAAAAAATAGAAAATTTTCATTTTAATCTAATTTCATTTTAATTTGCTACATTTATTGGGCTAGAATTTCTAGAAATGATTAATAAACAAGAAATACAACAAAAAAATAAAAAAAATAAAAAAAAATCAAATAATCAAATTGAAAAAGATGACTCGTCTGTGCCGTGGCATTGGATTAAGAATCATTGCCAAATATACCAGTATTCTCTTGATATTCGCAAGTGTAATGACCTCATGTGCTGCTCCCCTAAACACGTGAAAGAAGCAATGGACCTACTAGCAATTAATAATGGTTTTCTTCCACCCGTAATAAAAGGTATAGATAGTTACTTCTTAAACTCTATACATACCTTGGAATACTACCATTATGTTAAAGTTCCAGCATATGATGCTCATTGTTCTTTAATCTCAGCTGAGATACATGCACAAAGAACTTGTACAAAGTGTAACAAATATTTTCCTACTACAGCTTTTATGGCTAAACATCGGCAGCTATGCCACAAAAATAAAAAAGGGTGCCCGGCATTAGCAGATTCTTTACAGTATCCAGTTTTGTCGAATTCTGCCATGATGGATGATTTTTCTGTTCTTCCTTCTTTTTAAGAAACACAACTATTAGAACTATTTGTGTTGATTGAGCAGTATTCTTCTATATCTGATGATGAATAAATAAAAGTAGAAAAAAATAACGTTCAGTGTTATATTATAAAATATTTGAATTTGTTATTAACAATAAAATACAGTAATAGTTGTTATATATAATTGTCAATTAGACGATCTAAAGTTTGTAGTTTTAACTTTTAACTTAAAATTGTAAACAAAAGAGCTCTAAGCCATATACATAATATGTATGTACGTACGTATATATATACATGTAATATACCTACCCATAGAGCACTATATACAGTACCCGAAGTGACAAATAATATAAATCACTTTTTTAAAATATTATTTATGTATGCCATGTGATGTAAACAATTGTGTAACTTGTGTGATCTTTAATTTTTCACTATGTAAAAAATCATGTTACACTGGGTCGCTCTACGGTAATACATACTATAGTAAAAATTTGACTAATAAACATTGGGTAAAAGTATTATGCCGGCTTTATTTATTAATTAACCAATGAAATTTAAGCTTTATCGTGTAATCTGATAATAGCCGTTACCCCCACCCCCTAAATAATCAAGTGATAAAAGTAGGCTTCCTAAACCATATAGAGATACTAAGAGATATTCATGCAAAAGTACTGAAAGGTACCCATATAAAGATACTGAAAGGTACTCGTGTAGAGTTACTAAGAGGTACTTGTGTGAAGGTACTGGCAAGTACTTGTGTAAAGGTACTAGCAGGTACTTATACAGCATTACTGTGCCTTAGTTAACTAGCCAATAATATTTCTATAACTAATACAATAATAAAAATAATTTTTTTTAATCATTTCGGCAGTCTTGCCATATACTTTATTAGGCTATCATAATTTTTTATATTATACAATATAAATTTATACAACTTTTACAAAAGGCTAACTCTTTTGATACCTAAATTACAAGTACTGTCTCATCCGGTTATCTCTTGGACACCTATACGCAACCTGCTATAAGCAAAATTTATCTTCAAAATACCCCTTCCTGAAACAAAAGAAATATAATATCACTAGATGGATCCTACTGGCTCATCAAGACTACCTTCCCTTCTTTCAAACTTCTTTCACCTAAACCCGACAAAATAATTAAAACTCTTATTTATATATAAAAGTAAAAAAATAAAGCCATGTTTATGAAAGACCTAAACATTTTAAAAAAAAACGCCTCATGGTGATAAAAAAAAAACACAAAACAAGAAAACAAATTCTAAAATAATCTAATATAAATGAATAAAGATGAAAAAAGCAAAAAAAGAAAAAATAGCCTTGACACACTATTATAGCCCATGCTAGGCATAAAGATAAAAATTTTATACTAATTGCAACTAAAAGTATATCTCAATTGTAAAATTTTCGACTTTATTGATTCAACTTATTCCGGGCACTGACTTAACTCGGGTATCTCCTAAACAGAGGTATTGATCTCTTCCTTGTATTATAGCACCATATTGATCATCAAAACAAACACATGATTGCAATCTACTGAGTTCATCCAAATTTGGTAAGTGTAAACAATGCCGATCTTTTGGAGGGGGTAAGCCAAATTCCCACTTTTTTAAAAAATTTTTGAAAGACCAATGGGGGCAAGTAAAAGTAAAAAGGAAACCACTTGGTTAAGTAAAAGAGTGTGGCTTGAAGAGAAAAAGACTCCTGTTGTTTCTCTGTATTCTTCTTACTAGAAATAATAAAAATAATAACTAATACTATACTAATAAATATAACTATATAATAATAACTAATACTGTATATATAAATAATAAACTATAATCTACACTATGCTATGCTAATATTATAATCTGCTTTGTAACACTATGAATATTTTTTATTTATTTAATTAATAGATCAAAGCTAAATTTTTAATTAGTAGGACGTCAAATAAACTTATTGATTAAAATTTAAGATTGTGAATTAATAATAATCTGTATAGGTTCATTCATATTTCATACTATAAACCTTTAGCATAATTCACAAGAATTATTTTAATTAATTATAGTGCTTGTACATGTTCTTAATTACTAGCTGATCACATTAGAGAAATATTTGAGTATAAGGTATATTAAACTATTTGAATTCAAAGTATTTTTTTTTATTCTTTGACAGTCTTGTCAGTGCTCAAATACAAATTATATTACTATTAGACTACAAAACAAAGTTTC